AAGTATGTTGAGATCGATGCACGAAGTCAAATACCAGGATCGTGCAGGATTAAGATGGGCAGAGTGAAACAAGCAGGGAAATGGCTGAGTGCCTGCCTGACCCCTTTTTCTATCCCAGACCTACAAAAGCAGAGGAGGCTTCAAACCAACCCCAAGCCCTGCTGGACCCAGGCGCAGCGAGCAAAGCGGAGACAACGTGGAAGAAGGCACCGAGGCTCCGTGCATGTCTTAGCTGGGTCGAGATGTTTCAGTTGCAAGCGATAGATCTATTTTACCCATTAGAGCTTGTCTAGACTAAGGAAATGTTCCTGCTATGACTATGCTGAGGTAATTATACCAGCGTAAACCCCTTTGGGCAAAACAGAGCTTTCAGTGGCCTGATTTACTCTGGTCACTTGCCAGGATTAGTTCAGCTGGTACCAGCCTATTCTCCAGGAGCTCGTGCTCCCAGCTGGAACACACACGGGAGTTTTTATCTGTCTCATCTGAAAAATTCATACTGCCAACCTATCAGTCAGCCGTCCTTATGGGACAGCCGTGCAATTGTTTCTCCAGGAGAATGGTGAATGTTTAGAAGGTTCCTCTGTTAGGGCAGAACTGGTTAACTGGTTTTGAAAAACAAGCTAAAGAATCTGTTCTTAAATCTAAGCATACTTGGACTCGTGTTCGCCTATCAGGGAAACGGATCTGCTCCAAAAACAATGAAATAGGCAGGCACGTGGAGGGTGTTCAGCCTGCCAGGGATAGATGTGACCCTTACACAAACGGGCTTGTACAAGAGGATAAAATGTGTCCAAAGAGGGTAATATGGAAGCTAATCCGAACTGATTCTATTAAATGAATAAAAACCTGAGAAAACAAATAAGCTAAATTAAATAAATCCAAGTGCTTCCGTCCGAAGCCCTTTTTAATGGAACAGAGGGTGAAACCCTAGCCTAAGAGGAGTTAGTGGCAACATTTACATTGACTTTGAAGGAGAGGCTTCACTTAATATAATGCATATGGTGAAGCCACATAATGCCTCTCTGCGTGTTGATAAATGCAGGATGAGGAATAGATGGACTGACAGACGGACAGACTCGGTTATAGGTTAATCTGGTTTACTGTTATCTGCAGGTGTTACAATGCCCTAAAAAGTTATTAGGCACCTTTCATTCTAAACACTTATGGGAAGGACAGTTAGGAGCTCTAATAGTGAAAACAAATGTGCTCCCTCACTTTAAATGCCTCCTTATTAAAAAAAGAAAAGAATGTAAGTCTGAAGCACAACGATGACATCAGAAAAGTTCCTCAATTCACAGATGGCTGCACCTTTCAAAAAAAATTAAAATAGGAACCCTAGATTGATTTAATCACCCATACAAGCGAAAAAACGTAATGAAGATACTTAGTGCCAAATTGGTTTCTTGGGACCTTTTCCATGTAAATAATACAAATCAAACCTTGAAGTTCAGCGCAGATATGATCTGACAAGTAAGCCAGGCTTTTTTGCTTTACTTTGATCCAGCTCCAGAAATATTTTATCCAAGGTAAAGTTGTTTTTAAGTGTTTTCCATTTCAATTTTTAATTTTGGACATTCATCATATAGGAAACTTGCTTATAATGCTTAAAACATAGTCTGGCTAAACTGACTCACAGCACCGAACATAAAGATTTCCTTATATTTGCTCCTAGGAGTGAAAACATAAAAAGCTCCCGATGTGACACGGGATCAATTTCAACTCGCTCTGTTATTTTTAATGGTACACTGAACGTGGGCAACCCGAGTTGAGTATTTCCAAACATCAAGTCAACCTGACTTGAGTATTTTTAGCCCTGTTCCACTTCTCAGAGTTGTGTTTGTGAATAATACTTTTGGAAATAATAGGATGGGCAGGCCTTTGTTTTCTGAGCGGTTCCCCAAATTCCCCACGTGCTGCCATTCTCTCAGGATGCTGAGGGAGCAACAGGGACTTCTCTTGGAAGAAAGTCTCCACGTGTTGGCCTTATTCTGATTTTTTTGGTATTTTACTTTTATTTTCACTTTTGTTAGCTAAAAAAAAAATAAAGCCTCTTTTTTGACTCAATTCTAACCCCAGCATGAAGATTCTGCAGTTCAGAAAATTACGCACAGAAAAAAAAACAAACCAACCCTGTTCAAAATTTTCAGTGATGTGTGCCTAAACACAGATTTAGGCACCTTGCTGAAGGCATCCAGTTTCTAAAAAATCAGCTTTTGCGAATAATGTAAAATCCTCTGGATTCTCTTACTTCCACAAATTGGTATGTAGTATATTTAGCATTAGCTGGGCCTCTTTTCTCTTTTCACTCAAATGTGTGGTGTAAGGTTAATGAAAATAAGATGGATCTTTTATTTTGGGTCTTAAATATAACATTATTAAATGTGCCCACCAGAAATGTAGGATAAAATATTTGCTCTGCTTGAAGATTATGTGATATTTGTATTCTAAGCCTCACCACAGTGGGTTTCTTTAAATAGAAGCTATACTTTACTCCTAAATTGCTTAAGGCAAAGGAAGCAGAGATGATGTTTTTATGAATGTTTAAATGCAAATGGAACTGAGAGTGAATGCTATGCTAGCTAACATCAAAGGCTCACCAAAGTCTCTGCATTAATGAGGCTCTTTGTTTCCTGGATCACAGATTACAACAGGTTTCCAACTCATTGCCAAGGCTTTATCTCCGTTTGGGAGGGCTGTAAATCTCAGACGATTTTTTTCACATGCAAAACAAGAGGATCATCTGAAAGAGAAAAAAAAAAAAATCTGAAAGTAGCAAATATTTCATTCAAATGATTATTACTCAAAGTGGCTGCAGCTTATTTTATTTTTGTGATGTTTAAAAGAATGGAAATTTGCAGACGGAGTTTCCTATGGGGTAGCCCGTTCACAAATTTGGATGGGAGAGCCGAGCAGGGAAAATGCGAGCGGTCTCCTTTCCCTCTCCCATCCCCTTTAGCATAGCGTAAACCGTGCCCCCAAAATACGAACAATAATTCTATGTCATGCAAAAGCGGCAATTAGCAGAAAGACGGATTTTGCTTCATTTAAATATATTCAGGACTTTTCAAAGTGGCTCCAACTAGTTCTTCTCCTCCCCAAAAAGTAATGAGATTATATCCATAGTAATAATACCCTAATTAACAAGAAAAATAGGGACCGAGATTTTTAGCTTCCTATTCAAGGGCTGAATGTGACAATATGTAGTATATTGGGTCATAAAAAACAATTTACATGGCGTCATTACAGTCTGTAGAAAAGTCTCCAGGACCCAGGGCTATCTTATGCAATCTTAATTAAGGAAAATAAATATCGGTGTGTTTTTTTAAGCTACCGGAGACATGCACAGGACCTGTCGTACGCGATCAGAAGAGATGGGGAGTTTCCTTTTCCATGGGAACTGCTTAGAAGAAAAACCCGACGCCGACACACAAGTGTCTAGTGTCTTCGGAATTGGCTGCGAAGATGTTAATTTCGTGTTTCCTGACCCTCGGGGCCGCTCGGGAAAACTCATAATTTTCTGCCGGCCGACGGCACGGCCGGGCTACCAGGGGGGCCGAGGGAGGGAGCCGGGCAAAGCGGGGAGAGCCCAGCCGGGCCAAGCCAAACCGGGCCAAACTGAGCCGGGCCAAGCCGGGCCAAGCCGGGCCAAGCCCCTGGGGACCGAGCCGAGCCGGGCCAAGCCCCCTAGAGCCGAGCCGAGCCGGGCCAAGCCCCTGGGGCCGCGCCGTGCCGTGCCCCCCGCCGCCCAGGTGCGCGCATCCCCCCGCTCCCCCGCACCGCGTGCGCGCACACGTGGGCGCGCATCGCTCCCCACGCGTGTGCGTGTGTGCCACGGGCAGCCGCTCGTGCACGCGCCTTGGCTGCGTCCACGCGTGCCCGCCCGCGCGTGTTCAGCCGTGCGCAGCCGGCCGGCGGCGGCCCACGCGCGTGCAAATGTGCGGGTGCGGGGCCGTGCGCGCACACGCGGGGGGCTGGTGCCCGCGCACACACTCGGCGTGCAACGGGGGGGGGGGCGCGCGGGCACGGTCGGGAGCGCGCGCGAGTGTGCGGTGCGGGCAGATGCGGGCACGAGGATGCGCGCGTGCACGTGCGCGTGTCCAGATGCGGGCGCGCACAGGTGCGCGCACACACGCGTGGGCACAAGCGCGCGCACCGCCGCACCGTGAGCGCGCACGGGTGCGCGCACAGGAGCCCGCACAGCCCCGAGCCCAAGGTGGGAGCTGGATGGAGAGGAGGGGCAGGAGGTTGGGGGGGGGTCTCCCCTCGGAGCCTCGCTCTCTGCCCCTTTAAGACCGGCACCCCGCGGGGATGCGCGCACGGGCACGCGCGCGGGGGGCGCGCACGGGTGCGTGCGCCCGCCCCCGGCCCCTCCCCGGCGCTGCCAATCACCCGGCGGCCGCTTTGATGTCGGCAGCCCTTGGCCGCCGCGCCGCCGCGCTCGCACACAGGCACCGGGCGCTCCGTGCCGCTGCCCGCCCGCTGCTCCCGGGGAAACTTTGCGGGGCTCGGGCTTCGGGCTCGGCTCGGGGCGGGGGGGGGGTGGGCGGTGGTGGGGGGGCGGCCCGGGGTGGGGGGCCCCGCCGAGCCCGGCATCCCGCGACGCCTGCCCGCAGCCTGCCGAGCCCCCCGCCGGGAGAGGGAGGGAAAAGAGGAGGTGGGGGGGGGGGGGGAAGGAAAAGAGTTAAGAAAGGAAAAGAAAAAAGAAATTGTTATTTTTTTTTTTTTTAGAAAGAATTCGGAAGGGGGTTTGGAGAAGGAAGCAAAAAAAAAAAAAATCGAAGGGAAAAGTTTAGAAGTTAAGGAGGCAATTTAGGAAAGAACTTTAAAAAGCGAGTTTTGAAGAGGGAGCGAGGTCTTCTTCGAGAGGAAAATAAGAAGAACTGAGGGAGAGGAAAACAAATTAAAAAAAAAAAAAAAAAAGCCGAGGAGGGCTCGGTGCGGGCGGCGCAGCTCAGCCCTCGCCGGGACGGTCGGGGCTCGGCTCGGGAGGGAGGAAAATGCCGCAGCTGGGCAGCGGCGGCGGGGACGACCTGGGGGCCACCGACGAGATGCTGGCCTTCAAGGACGAGGGCGAGCAGGAGGAGAAGATCCCCGAAAACGCCTTCACCGAGCGCGACCTGGCCGACCTCAAGTCCTCGCTGGTCAACGAGTCCGAGGGCAGCGGCAGCCCGGCCGCCGCCGCAGACCCCGAGGTGAGCCGGGCCCCCCCCTCCCCAGCACGGCCCCCGGCCGGCCCGCACCCCCCCACCCCCCCTCAAGCCACCCCCCGCTCTGCTTTTTCTCTCTCCTCCCCATGCAGGCCATCAGGCGTGTGCAGGATCCGCAGAGGGTTTATCAGGAGAAGCTCCCGGACCACATGGAAGATGGTTAGTGGCGGAGACCCCCCCATCTCCAGACCCCCCTGGGACATCCCCCGGCCCCGCGACCCCCTGGAGGTCCCCCCTAGGGTGGGAAGGGTTGGGGATGCCACCCCCAGAGAGCTGCCTTCATCCCCCTGCGGTCCCCTCTTTTAGGGCCACGGGGCAAAAAGGCTCCCCAAATAATCCATCACCTCCATGGGCTCCCCCGGCAGGCAGAAGTCACCTGTCGGAAGGCAAACCCTGACGGGGAACTTTGATTTTTGCAGGTATGAAGCACCAGGACCCAGGGATGTATAAAGGATCCACGTATTCTGGCTACCCGTTCCTAATGCTCTCAGACCCTTATCTGCCAAATGGATCTATGTCACCGCTGGTGAGTTCATCCTCTCCTTACCCAGAAGTTTGGTGGCCTCTCGTGCCAAAGTGTGCCGCGGGTACCGTGCGGGCACCTCCGTGTGCTGTTTTTTTTGACAAAATGCATCTCAGTTTCTAAGTGCCCGGGCGCTGTCCTGTCCGAGCTGAAGGAAGGAGTGGGAAGGGGCAGCGATGCTCGGTGGGCAGCGCTGCTTTTCTCCAACTCTGCTGGAGGAGTTTCTTCTCAAGTCTCCTCGTCTAGGTGTGCCTCTTCCAGCAATCAAAGCCTAAGATCTGGTGTAAAAATGCCCCTTCCTTTCTCTGGGTCTGGAGGCGAGCAACTTCTGGTGTTTGTGTTCAGGGACACGTCCCATGGTTTAACTTGAGTTTGGTGTATCTGCTGGTAAAACGGCTGGGTTTTGGCCTGGTTAGGGCTCTCTTGTGGATGATGGCCCAGAAAGTGGATCTTGCACTTCTAAAATGGCAATAGAGGTTTTTCGGAAAGAGCTTAATGCTACTGGAGGGCTATTCCAGTCTTCTTCCTACAAAGTTTTTCCCTTTCAGGTCGAATCAGTTAGGAACTCTGTGTATTTTGATGTTTATAATAAGTTGTGCTGTATGAATAATTGAACTAAAGGCTGCTGGAGAAAAGCTGTCTCTCCCCGTCGCCATCTCTATCAGAACTTCAGAAAAGAATTTGGTGACATCGCAGCAGATACCGAGCTCGTGTCGCTCCGGGGGAGCCGGCATCACTGCATTCATTTCAGACACTTGCAGTCGGTTAATGAGAACACAGCAGCATTCGGCGTATTTCAGTTTTAGTTTTTAACCTTTAAAGGAATAAGGTTTGAACGAACGTGTAATGCCCTCCTTAGTGTAAGCAGTTCAGTTTTCAGTTGTTGGTTCACTGGATGGGGTAGGATGTTAGGCTGGCGTTGTGAAAAATTGATGGACGGTGGGGTCTGAAATAATCCTTGAGGTGTGGTAAAATGTTGTTTGTGGGAATCGGTGCTGTCTGCTCCCGCAGGGAGGAGGGGAGAGATCCCTTTGGCAGCCCCACCGTGCCCCAGCAGAGCCCTGCTCTGTCAGGGGGAGCCCATCTCCCTGCTGTCACTGTCATAACCGCTGGGGTCGGGGGGCAGGTATGGAGGATCTCTCTAAATGTCGAAGTCTTGTTCAGTTCACAGCAAGGAAAGGTGTGCTTGCAAGGCAGGGCGTTCTTGTGATCAGTCAGAGTAAGCGTCTCATCTGTTGTTTCCCACCTCATCTCACTTCTTCCAGGTATCCCCCTCGCCCCTCCAAAACATAAAGCTGCTCTCTTCCTGATAGACTAAATGGTGATATAGAAATTGTCTTATTGAAATGCATTCAGTTTGCTCCCTTGTACAGAATCTGGACAAGTTCAAAGTTACATTAGCCCAGCAGCTATTTGTTGTAGTGGAATATTTCTTTTAATCTTAAACCCTTACTAGATGGGCACTGAAGTGCAATAGCCTATTTATTAGCAATTATGCTGAAAAGTAGATTGTGGCTTGTGAATTGCCTTTCCCCTTGATAATGTTAAAAATAAATAAATAGAGGTTATTGTCAGAGCAACAGATAGCTGTAAATAGACCGTGCAGAACTCAAAGAGGAGAAAAATGAGTAGCAGGGAGGGAATGATTCCTGTCCCCTCGAGAGCCACAAAAATCACTCACAGCCTTAGTGAGTTTTACTCAGATCTGTTCAGATCCTGCAGTGTTTTATGTGTTGCGTGATTAAAAAGCTGATTTGATGTTTTCAGCTAAAAATCTGTTACCGAACATAAAGGGAAGAAATCTTCCCATGTCTAAAGGCTGGTCTTGCCTTTGATTTTGGGGGTTTGTGTAGTAGTTACGCCAATATATCTTTCTGAGCAATTTTGTCCTGTGTTTATATTGACTGTGTAAAGGTTATTGTTGCTAAATTATGTATTGCTCTCATATAGATTTATTGCTACCATGTGCATTACATAAAATGCGAGCTGTAATCTGGTGGCTGCTTCCAGTAATTGAGGAGGTCAGATCTGTGACCAAAGATTTCAGATACTTAACCAGCCATAAAAGCGTGTTTAATTAACATTTTAGCACGAGTTGGAGGGGAGGGCTGTGTGAGTAGACGGGATTATGTATCACAGCCATGCGTGGTGGAGGCTGTATTTTGCTTGATGGGGCTTCCTGGAAACAGTTGTTTGCAGCTAGGATTCATTTCAGAATCCTCAAAAACAAAAATTAAAAAACAAAAAAAACGGTGCTTTTGCAAGCAAGCTATCACAGCTTTGCACGTAACTGCCTGACCAGGACGGTACAGCTGCCCTGAAGACGAAGGGCAGTCGGCAGCGAGGTTTGGGGCTGAGCCCCCCCAGCTGTGCACCACCAAACCACGATCCTGCTGCGGGGCTCTGCGAGCGGTGCTGGGGCCGGCCCGGTGCGCTGCCCCGGCGGGTGTGTCGCTACCGGTGTCGCCGCAGAGCTGCTTCTGCTCTTTCTTGTATTTATTTTGCTCAGCAGCATCACTTCAGCTTTGTTTCCCTCGGGGTGGTTGTAGCCTGCTGGCTGCTGCCCTGCCCTGGTGGTGCTCACCCCCAGTGTCCTGCTCTGTCCCCGCAGCCCAAACCGTGTCTTTTATCGACTCACACCCACCTGGGTTATCTACACATGCTGCTGCCGCTCCTGAACGATGCTCGGAGGGTGTCCGGGTACCTGGCAGCAGCAGTGCCAAGCCAGCTGATGTGCTGAGCCCCCACCGAGCAGCAGGATGTGGCGAGAGCCAGCCTGCAGCAGGCAGCAGCTCGGTGCTGCTGGCAGTGGCAAACACCTTCCTAGGGCAGTTGGGCTGGATTGGTGCTGATTTCAGCACTGATTTGAGTGTCCTGGAGGAGCGGCAGAGCTGGCAGAGAGGCAGGAGGATGGATGGCAGGTTGTGGGCAGGTGCTGGAGCTGGGGACGAAGCAGCGGAGCGAGCCCAGGCTCCCTGCGTTTTGGGAGCGGGCTGGGGATGCCCCCGGGCTGGCTGCTCCAGGATGGGCACTTCTGGGTGAAATGGGTCGAGAGCATCTCTGTGCAGACCGTGCACGTGTCTGAAATCCTGACATTTTGCAAGGCACCAAGCGAGCCGTTCCTCAGCCGGCTCCCAGATGTCACATGCACACGGCATGAGTCTGCTTCGTCCCTCCTGAAAAAGTCCGGCTTTTTCCAGAGCAGAATGTGTAGGATTTGCAGGTTAAAAAATCTGCAAGAAACTTCCAAAGAATATTAACACGCTGAGGAACTGCTTTTCTAAATGAAATGTAAGATCATAAAACTATATCCTTTTTTAAATAGTACAAATGACTTTAAATCAAATTAAGGTACATCCTTAGTAAGAACATCAGCCTTTTAGGTGGTTACAAACATTAGAGGTCAGACATGGTCAAACATGTTAACACTTTGATCAGATTAAAATATTTTTCTTGCTACAGTTGTATAATTGAGTTTAGACCCGAGGGGGTTTTCTGAACATTGTTATATCTTGTACCATGTGGTAGTTAAATTTTAGAAGGAGCACTTATAAGTTCCTTTTGTAAATAGGTTTGTGAAGTCGGGGATGAGCAGCACCATCCTGTGTGTAGGGACGTGGTGGGAGAGCCCCTGGAGCAGGGAAATGCGACTGAATGGGGCTTGTTCCGTCCCCTGCTCTGCTGCACCCCTCTTGTGTTTAGGCAGCTCGTGGGGTGTGGGAAGGCAGAACTTAAGTGTTTTGTATAAAAAGCTGAGGCACTGGGCTTTGTCCTGTTCTTGTGTGAGAAACAGAGGTCCAAGAGCATCTGTTTCCTTGGAAAATAAGGACACTACCTAATTTTCTTGGCTATTAAGCTAACTAGAGCTTGCGTAGTATCCAAAGGGTGGTGGTACGCTCCCAAGCTCTGCACGTGTAAAGCCCCAAAACGAGATGTCGGGCCCAGGAAATAATGCAGATGTTCCTGAGGTCCACCTGGCTCCTTGAGCTCGGTCCTCTCGCAGTGGGTTTGCGCTGTCCCCTTGGGCAGGGTGAGATGAAAGCGCGCGTACTGCTGGCCTGGGGCCACAGGTCCCAAACATGCATCACAAGGTGAAAAAGCTGAGGCTGAAAGTCTCCCGCAGTGGTTGGCAAGAGAGGATCAGTCCCAGGGGGCAGGACAGAAGCTGGAGCAGTGTGAGCTGGGTGCTTGGACACAGCTTCTGGGTCCATCCAGGTCTGCTCCATCCCACAGCAGGAGGCTGTTGTCCCTGCAGCAGGTGGGGGACAAAAGAAATTCACAGCTCAGTGTCTGTGTAGAGGTCTTTCTGTCCTAGCTCGTGCTGTCAGAGCAGTATTTTAGTGTTGCTTTTTCCATGTGAGGTTCTGATCCTGTTGAAACCAGCAGCAGAACTCCCCAGAGTCTCCATGCAGGGGTTTGTCCCTGCACGGGGGCTGCCGCGTCCCTCTCCAGGTGTGCTGGGATGTGCTGGAGGCGAGCGCTAGCTCGGCGCGACAGCAACATCCCCAGCAGCATCCCAGCTGGCTTCCCTGGTGGCAGGGCTTGTGCTATAGGACCTCCCCAAGACATTTCCCATTCCCTGTGGATTGCTACAGTCCTGGCAGAAAGCCCTGGAAGCACAGTGCCCAGTGGTGGACATCCTGGCACAGGCAGAGGACTGATTTGTTCCCTCCTGGCCAAAACAAATCCACTTCTCCCAGCTCTTCCACCTAGCTTGAAACAGGATAGTGGTGAAAAGCTTTTTTTTTTTTTTTAATATTAAAGCGTAATGCTGGATAGGTGGATGTACCAAGACGCAGGGCTTCCGAGGTCATTTATTGCATGTCTGATTCAGCCTCGGTTCCCCCCCAAGGAAAATTCTTGTGTTAATTTCTGAGTTCATATCACACCCTCAATTTTGAAACAGAACTTCCCTTTGAAATAAATTAGAGAGTTCTGCTTAAGAAGCAGTGACATGATACAGCACTGCATGTGTGTGGTCTAATATAACCTTATTTTTAAAG